TTCTTTAATAGATATGTATATAAAAGTACATGTACAATAACAAATGCATACCTATGCTCCTCACTAGTGACATACATGTCATCAGGCTGATGATGTAAGTTATGAACTTCATAGGCCTTTTTATTCAAAAATAGTGCATCACAAATGGTGCAACGGATTATTTCTGTATCGGGCCTTGTGTTTGTTTCTTCCTCTGGATGCCTCTGCTCAATATGCTTCCGCAGATTATACTTTTGAATGTATTCTGATCCACAAAAGTGGCAATAATACACTGACTGAGCTTCACCAGCATTGTTCAATTTTATCTTTTTGCTTGGAGGTGGTGTTGCCAGAGGTCTTAAAACTGAATCAACTCTAAAGTAACAAGGGTAAAGTCAGATGAAAAATTTCAAGGAAAAGTGGCTCAAAGTAGCAATATACAAGTTCTTAATTTTAAGAAAATCAGTTAATTAAATTTACCTTTTGTGACCAACTTTAGCATGGTAATCCATAGCGGATTTATTGTAAAATTTCTCTCCGCACTCATCACAGATAAGAACTTCTTGTGGTTTACTGTTTTGATGTTCTTCAGCTATGTGATTGTCCAGAAAGGCCTGTAAATTAGAGCAGAGGTTCATGTAGTTACGAAGTGCAGTTGACATTTTAGTGCCATAAATCTCACCTCAAAGTAAAACCGATACCTTGAGTGGAAACTGTTTTCCACAATGTGAGCAAAAATACTTGAATGGCAAAGTCGGATGCAACCGCCATTTGTGAGTCATGGCATATGCTGCACTTTCAAAATATATGTGACACACTTCACAGGAAAACCGTTGGTGGTTAGGTTGTTGAAATGTCACATTTTGCTTGTCCTTGGAAAGTTCAGGTTGAGGACTGTCAGATTGTTTTGCATTACTGCAGGAAACTTTTTGAATCCCAACTTCAGGCTTAGTTAATGTATGTATATTATTTGAGTTTTTTTCATGTCCTGGTTTATGATTGGCTGAGTCGTTAGATGGCTTAGAGGAAGGCAGACGGATAACTTCAGCAGCAACAAGGGATTTTAGGGTTGGATTACCTGAATTATCAATTTCCTTTGTAGCATGTTGCCTCTCCGTTGACTTATCATTTGACAGAGTCTTCAAAATCTTAGCAACAGCACGCCCCTTATTATCAATTTCCTTATTTGCATGTTTCCTTTTAAATCAAAACCATAGAATTGTTGTTACAATTTGAGGACAAAGTCTAAGATAAAGTATCATGCCATTATAAAGCAGAGACTATCAGTACCTGAAATGATCTTGTAACTCTTTCTTTGAGTTGAGCTTCGAATTACACAATACACAGGTAACTTCAGACATTGGAAGGTCACCTTGAAATAGGTAAATGATATGACTCAAGATTGAAATCTTTGAGGACACAAAATTAGGAAATACCACTAGAAATACCACATAACAACCGGTGGTTTGGTTATCCGGTTTGTTTATGTTTACCACGACGACGACAAATGAACTCGAAGATCGAAGGAGACCTCGAGGTCCATTTGGCCAACATTGAAACAACAAATGAGAAGTGAAAACCGACATCCAATTTTCACTTAACTATTCAAATTCTGTTTCCTCATTGGTCTCGTCTTGAATTTCTCTTTGTTCCTCTTCGATGAAAGTGAAAAAAATGTATGACAAGTTCGAAAAATGTTTTAGTTTGCTTTCTACGATTGGTCCTTCGGCTAGGTGTAGGTGCGCTGTTGTTCTTGTTTTATTTGCATTTTGTTTTCGTTGGTTTGTTTTGTTTATCCTTTTCAAATTTAAGGCCACTGATCGAATGAAATTTTTACAGAAGTCCTTCTTTGTACTCAGTTTTCTTTCGAACTTTGGTGGATTAAGAGTGAGTGTTGGTTTAACCTGTGTACTTTATCTGTATATTATGAGTGACAAGTTGTATTTTTCTTGCGACAGGTTAGTTTTTCTAGGATGTCTTGCTCACTCAGTGACAGTGTCAAATTTCCTCCAAGTATCCGCGAATTTGGATATGCATTTAATTCGGGTAAATAAATTATTATTATTATTTTTTTAAATAATGAAATATTACATGATTTTAATTGTTGCAAGACCGTTTATTTAAGGTCTTAAATACTGTAAACCATCGTTGGTGTTATTGTTATAATTAACAGACCGTTGTGTGAATTTTCAGATGGTAAACTGTGCCAATTAGATCCAATTTCTGGCATGTTGACCGATAAGCCTTTTGAATTCAATGTCACCCCAGATCAAACTTACAACCAGAAACGCTATGAAGCGCTGGGAGAGGTAAGAATTTAATTGAGTGTTCTTTGATTCCATCAAACTGTTCAAGAAATGTAAATTTTATTATTGCAGCTAATTACTCCTTATGTTTATGAAATTCTAACCAATGATTTGAATTTGGAAAAACTTGATGTACCAGACAATGGGCAAACTCCATCTTCCTTCATTTTTGCATCTAAAGATGCTCTTTCAAATCCTGATAAACTAATGGTTCTTATCCACGGCAGTGGAGTTGTAAGAGCTGGCCAATGGGCTCGAAGGTAAGAAACATCTTTTTACTTAGTTTTTTGTTGTAACACTTGCCTTGCCGTCTTGATAGAGCACTTGAATCTCTTAAAGTCTTATCATCAACGATAATCTTCAATCTGGAACTCAAATACCTTACATTAAGCAAGCAAAAGCTGAAGGCTATGGAATCCTTGTACTCAATACTAATGACAATACGCGTGTTGTCGATGACAAAGTTGTACCTATCAAGGTTTGTTCTATCTTCCCTTTCCATTATATTTTTTTTAATAATCATTTCGTAATGTAACCAAAAGTGTTTGTATCTTTGTGCTGATTTTAGGGGAGCAGTAATCCAATAGAACATGCCTCCTGGGTATGGAAAAACTATGTAAGAAAAGCCCTAGCTAGGAAGATTGCTGTTGTTGCCCACAGTTATGGTGGTGTTTGTGCTGTTGAATTGGTAAGTAATTTTGTAAGTTGATTAGAGAGCCAGTGTTATTTTGAAGAGCAAACTGACAACTTTTCTATAATTTTCTCAGGCAAACACAATGTTTGAGGATTTTTCTACACGAGTTTTCGCCATTGCCATGACAGACTCAGTGCACCAAATGAAATTTAGACATCTAAAACCTGAAGTTCAGAAGTATCTTTGCAAGGTAAATAAATATTTAGTAAAGTTTTCCAATTCATCAATAGTTAATTATACTGCAGCACCCTAAGCTCTAGCTAACTTTGGTTTAGTCAGTAAAATTATGATGTTTCGTCTCTTATCAGGTTGGGCGAAATTGGGTTTCCAGTGCGGCACCTTTGGATGAAATAATAGAGGATGACAAGAAATCAGATATCACCTCAGTGTCAGCAGGTAAGTCTTTATGAGTAGATGGCTTTTAGTAATGGTATGCATTCTCCTAATTATAACTTATCTACTGATCTGTTTCAAGGTCACAAAAAGCATGAGATGACCTCTTGGTCCTGTAAGGATTCTCTTTTTGAGTACCTGCGCGAGTGCTACAAACAATGAGATTGGTGTATTTGTGACATTTTTGGTTGACTTACTCCAATCGGAAAAAGATTCTGTCCCTTTTAAAATAAACGCAAGTTTTGTGATTTGAATGATGAAGTAATATACTTTTTCCCCAAACATCAAATGCTTTAGTTTGGTGAATTTATATATATTTGAAAGAAAAAGGTGCTACTGGTAAACAAATTGGGTGGAGTAGCATCTCAACCAAGGGCTAGTGGCATGCTTAGTGTACAACAGAAGTGAATCAAACTCCTCCATCAAACAATAACCAGTTATCTTAGATATACATACTTGAACTGTAGTGGATAATTTTTGAGGAATGGAGGAAAAATAAAATTTGAGACATTTAAGGCTTCTTCACTGTTATTGAAACATAAAGAGCAGCAAAACATACCATACAATGAATTTTCGTAATTCTCAATGCAGTCTAATAAATAATAAACAGTGATTTTAATAAAATAAATCAGCATTTTTCCAAGAAAATAAGCTTGTAGCAAACAAAATCTAAATAGAGTGGAGAACATACTACAATCACAGCCACTGCCAATGAAAGTACAGCGTTAAGAATTTTGCTGTCAGTCATCACACAATTTTGTAGCTGAACGTAAAAATTGTCCATTAGACAACACCATAAAATTTGAACTCTATCTCAGCCCGTATCCAAGCTGTTCTCTGAGTAATTGTGATTACAATAACTGAATAAAAAGCAAAAGTATTTCAACCTAGTTTTGGCATTTCCCAAGCAAGTAAAAATATAGATTGAGCCCAATCGTACAGAACACCTCTATTATCATTGGACAATTTGACATGAGAACCTAAGTGAAGACACAACTCGATTCGATATGTATCACAAAATATTAGCAAAACCCTCTGTCATGTTTAAAGCAGATATAATTACTCCATTACATTTTCACAAGTGGTAGAAACTGTAGTGTTGAGTTGCTACACCACAAAATATATGACAGCATACCCCATTCATTCAGAGTAGATTGATTTAAGGAGATGATTAAATCAGTACAAGATACGGACTACACTTCCAGATTAAACATGCTCCTATGAATAGTACACAGATTGCTTGTGCTGCTCAGACTTAAATGCCCCAAATATCGTGTAGTCACAGGGTCAGAGAAATATACTGCAGGTGACAAGAAAGGCTTCCTACTTCTTGATTAAATTTAGAGGCAGAGGTTAGTGAAAAAGTTACAAGAATATCCCAACATCCTAACAACATACATACTGAAGAAGTAAACTGCGTTAAAAATTATGAATACAGGGGAGAGGGGGGATGGGGGAGGAGCTAGTCTTGAAAATTAAAATATAATGACTAGTTGCAAAACAATGTCAAAAGTAATCCTGGTACAATTCTCAGACTTCACAACTGTTCTCTAGATTGTATAAGTTGTACTAAGTGAAACAGATAATAGAGCAATTTCATATTATATTGATGTATAATCCAGAGGTACATGAGATTACATAAGCAGTTCCTGTGAAAGAAAGTGACTTAATATTGTACTCAAGATTCCCCACAAGCGGATTAAAATAGAAATATGATGAATAACTAAGATCACGAGAAATTCCTAATATCATCAAATACATTTTTAAAATTGAACAAAAACTAGAGCACAATTACTTTATGGTGGAATTAAACTTAAACACCTACATACAATTACTGAATATAAATTGAGTTCTGTTAGAAAAAGCATATTTTAATAAATGTAACTAACAGCAGCAAATAAAGAGGTAGACACAAAATAAATACAGTCGGTTTGACGAAAGAATTCACACATATTCTTTCTTTCCCAAGAGACAAAAATACCCCAATTAAACTTATCAATTTCAAAAGAAAATGTGAAACAATGTTCACATTAACTTTTTGAACCGAGCTATGAAAAATCCAATAGTGTCTCTTTCACAAGCATTTTCTTCAAATGATTCACTTACACTTGGCACAAACTTCAGAACACATTTCCACTCAGAGGCTGAGAGGGTGTTGTTAAATAAATCCTAAAGCAAAAAGAAAAAGCTGTAACAGTAGTTCACATGTAAATTGGTTTTGCACATATGAATGCATAATTACCTCAGAATCAGCAAAATAGCTTAGTCGAGGTTCAGCAGGAACAAGTTCAAGACAAGGAAATCGGTCAAGAGCCCAGCGTACAATCCCTTCATTTTCCTCAACAACTACAGTGCAAGTGCTATAGACCAAAATTCCTCCTGCTTTCAACAACTTCACAGCCTGGGAAAATAATGTTATCAATAAAAATAGGAAAGTGACTATTAATTTGGGATTGACGACAAATTTCAAGAAATAGGACAGTACCGTTTCAAAAAGCTTCTTTTGCAAGGGAGGTAAAGAGGCAATATGTTTCATATTTATATGATCTAGTTTGGGTCTTTGACCAAGCCCACTGCAAGGAGCATCAAGCAAAATTCTATCAAAACAACATGGTGAGAAAGGAGGACCAGTTTCAAAATATTGGGGATCACACTGGCCATCAAGTGGGATTTTCATCTGCATATTAACAGATTTGACTGAATTGCATACAAAAGACAACACATTAGTGACTGATAGCTCTTTGCAAAGTTCTTGTAGCTTTAATATTCGTGATGCAGATCTATCCAAAGCTATGATGATTCCCTGCAAGCATGAGAGCCTTTGTTAGAAAACATTAAATTTTTCTCAAAAATCAAAATTTATTTGATCACGTAATCAAGTACCATATTATTCATTAAAGCTGCTAAATGAGTAGTTTTATTTCCTGGAGCAGCACACATGTCTAAAATTACTTCTCCTGGTTTAGGATCCAGGACTCTTCCACATACTATGGATGGCAGATTCTGCATAACTGCTGTTCCAGGCTCAATAAAATTTAAAGGCAAAGACGGGCATCCCGACGTAGTATCAGTCACAAGAACTGCAACACCTCTGCAATTACAAAACATTTATGCAAAATTAAAGCAGGCCCAAAACTTGAATTGCTGTTCTACTTAAGAAGCGCACATACCTATTAAGTCCATCTCCACAAAAAATTTGTTTTCTAGTAATGAGCAGAATTCTATTTCCTTCAAAGTAATGCTCATTCTTCCCAACTTGAGGGTCCATCCACGTTTACAAGTACTTCCAATATTAGCCTACATGCTTACAATGTCACCTCTAGTT